CCCCTGTGCCCCGGCCCGCCGCAGGGGCGGGAAAAGCCACAAGCAGCACAGCTCCTTCCCTCCAGTTGCTGGCCAGCCCCCACACTCCAGCCTTGGCACTCAGGGCAGTACTGGGCTCCGAGGGTCCATGGCATTGGTTGGATGGCTTGGCGGGTGAGCGGGGGCCCAGGCATTTTGTTGGTCAGCACAGGGAGGGGACATGGGGTGCTCACCTGCCTGGGCTCCCCAGCAGGAACCTGTGGGGACAGAGATGGTGCCATCAGCCATGTCTCAAACATGCCAGCACTACAGCAGCTCCAGCTACATGTACTCACCATTCTCCCCGTGCTGCCACTGCTTCCTTCCGCACCAGCCTCTTCTTGTCATCCAAAGGCTTGGCCAGCGCCCGGATAACTCGGCCCTTATATGGGAGCAGCTGCAGGAGAGACAGGGCTTGTACTGAAAGCCAGGTGCTGGCTGCACCACCAGGAGGAACTTTGGGACCACTTTGCAGGAGCAGGCAGCAGACCACTACAGGAGCACTTACCACTACTGTGGGCAGGCTGGTAAGCGCATGGGCGCAGCGCAGGGCAGCAATGCGGACAGCCTGGAACAGAGGGGTGAGGGCAGAAGAGGGGGCAGGGGTAGAGGGGAGGGTCACGGGGAGGGAGGAGGGGGCATACGCACCATGATGGGGCTGGAGGTGAGGCTGAGGAACTTGGTGACCAGTGTGTCAACATGCAGGCTCATGATATGGGGAGCTTCGAGCAGCAGTGGCTGGAGGCAGCTCAGCGTGGAGAGCTGCACCACGTGGTCTGAGCAAGACAAGGCCTCGAGCAGGAGGGGAAGCAGCTGCAGATAGGGAGGACACAGGAAACATGGGTAAATCCCAGCCAGTCATGATCCCTGCAGCCCCACTAAGACTAGTTCTCACCGTGGGCAGCTCTGTCACCAGCACAGGCTTCGGGAGGTGGTTGAGCACATGGGACAGGCCCTTCAGGTAATTGGCCTTGACGTCTGTGGAGAGCAGAGATGGTTGCAGGCAGCCAGGGGAAGGAGGGGACACTGGCTCATGCCCCCTGGGTAAGGCTAGACTGGGCTGGAGGTGGCCACTCACCAGGGCCAGCCCTGTGGAAGCCCTGCACCAGCTTGGGGACGTTGTCAGTGAAGAAGCGCTGGCGGAACATGATGCGCACGTCGGCGTGGCAGCCCTTGTGCAGCACGTCTGGGGACTCGGCCATCAGCAGGGAGAAGCCATCGGCTGCAGTGGGGCCCAGCTCCACATCACCCAGCAGGCCTATCAGCTGCAGGGAACAGAGCCCTGAGGTGGGGTGTCCTGCTGTGGGGTCCCAGCTAGCTGCAGGGGGAGCAGGCAGGTGCCTCAGGCATCACCCAGCCCCACTACCACCTACCTTGTCTGTCAGGTGGGAGCTCAAGGGGTGGTAACGCAGGACCAGGGCTTTGGTCACCTGTGGGGCAGAGCACTGTCAGTACGGGACCAGCCTCCTCAGTTCTTCCCCCCACACCCGGGGCAGGCCTTACCCAGAGCAGCAGGGTGAGTGCCTGTGTTCGGTGGGGCCCCTCTGCAAGGCTGGGCTCCAACCTGTTCACTGCAAGTTGCAGGATCTCATCCAGCTGCTGCCCTGGGGACACAGAGAGGACAGGCTGAGCCATACCCCTGCCAGCAGTGGGCAGGGACCCACTGTAGCCTGCCCAGCCCCCTTACCTGCTGGCTGCTTGTTCACCAGCCCTGCAAAGCACTTTGCAGCTGTGCTGGCTGTAAAGGGGCAATTGCAGGAACAGCTCAGTACCAGCAGCTCCCGGAGCAGCCGAGGAATTGCTACCTGGAAGAAACATGTAGCATGTCCAGAGCTGCTCTCTTCTTCTGCCCATGGAGCTTGCTGTGGACCCAGGCAGGAGGGTGCTCAGTCAGGTTTCCTTCTCCACCCTGCTCCCCACCAACTTACGTTGCGGGGCAAAGAGCAGACAAAAGCCATGAGGAGGATGACCAGACGTCTCTGTGCCTCCAAGCACTCCCCATCCTGCAAGGGGAAGGACAGCACTCATGTCAACGCAGTCCTTGCTGCCAGCTTGTGCCAGCATCTTCATTCCCTGCACCCCTGTTCTGGCACCCCAGCCCCAAACACCTAACACACCTCAAAGGGCTGGAAGGAGCAGGGAAAACTGTTCTGGGGCAGGAAGGAGACCTCTCCATCCAGGAAGAGGGGTACCACCTGAGACACACTCTGGGCAGCCAGCCTAGGAGAAAGGAGACATTGCAACATGCTGTTCTGGGAAGGTCACAAGGTCTGTCCCGGGATATGCAGGGTCTCCCTGCACAGACAGCAGCAGTGGGACGCAGCCAGCCCCCTCCTCACAACCGAGTGCACTGCATCCTGCCCCAGCATCACTCACTCGGGGCTCAGGTGGGTGGTGGCAGCGCTGATGACTGGAACCATGGCAGCCAGCACCTCCTCCTCCAGAAGCGCCTTGCCCAGCAGCGGGTTGGTGCTCTCTGCAGGCAGCAGAAGGAAGGAGACACGCTGGAGCCTGCTGCCCCGAGGGAGAAGGCAGGCACAACTCCTGACCCACGCGTGCCGGGACAGAGCTCCTCGGCTCCGGCAGGGTCAGCAGTACCCGCGGTTGCCAGAAGGCGGCAGCAGCAGCGCTGGCTGCGGGACCGTTTCCCCTCTCCCGCCCCTACCTTGCACGGCAGCCTGCACGACCATGGCCAGCAGGCAGGGCACCACGGTCTGGTGGTAGTACCAGCAGCCCTCCGCGTCCTGCTGGCACTGCAGGGCCACGCGGTGCAGGCTCTGGCACACTGAGACCATCTCTTGAGCGGCCCCAGCCTCTCCCCCTGCAGGGCACAGTCACTGTCACTTGAAACAGCCACAGCTGATCGCACCAGGAACCCCGAGCAAGGCAGCCTTTCCAGCTCACCCTCCAGCCCTCCCAGCTCACCCTCCAGCGGCGGGGTTCACACCCCAGCTCCTCCCACCGCTGCCATCCCCACTCTCCCAGCCATCACTGGTAATGTAACGGAGCTGCCTTCTGTGAGTCTGTGTTACCTTTCTGCACCTTCCGGAGATGCTGCAGCAGGACAGGGACTGTCTCCCTCACGATGCTGGTGTGGGTGGACACGGCTGCCAGGGCCCGCAGGCAGCGGTGCCGCCGGGGGGACTGGGCCTTGGGG